GGGAGTCCAGCACCTTAACCACCATGCCACCTACTGGCCCCTGCCTGGAATCTTAGTGAACCAATGAGATTGCTGCTTCAGTTAACCAATCACAACTGCACACGTTTTAATTCTTCATCTGTATTATCAGACCTTTCGGAGGACTTGAAAAGAACTATTCCTCTATAAAAGACCCAGAAGTTTTACACTTGGGGAGACATATTTGAGACACGAGCTGTAGTACCAGAACTGTAATACTTGAACTGCAACTCTCCTGCCTCCTTGATGGTGAGCCACACAGTAAAGTCTTTTTTGCTTTAAGATGCAGTGATGATTGGTGATGATGGGTATTTCTTTGCATAAAGCAATGGACTCCTTCCCTCCCTCCTTGAGACCCCCCTTGAGGAGGTAATAAGAATCATCTAAAAACCACATGACCCTCTTTGAACAAGCTGGGATTTCCTTCATTTGGGTTGCCTATCTGTGTCCCCTCCTTGGTGTGTAGCCTCCATACTAGGGAAGCCAAATGATCTGTGTGGGTGGAAGACATAACAGAGCACAGGACAGAGATGACCAGAACCTGGCGTGGCATCACAGAGAGCAAGGAGGCCCACCTATGCTGGTGAGGTCAACTGGGACAGGGGCCCAGGCAGGGCCACATCTCGGCCTGAGACAGGGTCTCCAAGGAGGTGGGATTCATTCAGTTGGCAGGAGCATAAATAGCTGGATGCACGCTGGGTTTTGGAGAAAACATTGTGTAAATAGAAGGGAATGATGGGCTCGACACAAAAAGAAGGGAAAACGAGACAAAAGTCAGTGTAAGTGGTGTAAGCTGAGGGCAAGCCACTCCAGGCTTTAGGGCAAGACATGGTCCTCATGTGAATTCACAGCTCACTAGTCTAAAACTCTTGTCCCACAGACCTCCATCTATCATCTATCTATCTATCTATCTAGCTATCTATCTATCTATCTAGCTATCTATCTATCTATCTAGCTATCTATCTATCTATCTAGCTATCTATCTATCTATCTATCATCTATATCTATCATCTATCGACCTACCTACCTATCTATCTATCATCTACCTACCATCTATCTACTATCTATCTATCTATCATCTATCGACCTACCTACCTATCTATCATCTACCTACCATCTATCTACCTACCGATCTATCTATCATCTACCTATCATCTATCTATCTATCTATCTATCTATCTATCTATCTATCTATCTATCTATCTATCATCTATATCTATCATCTATCTATCCTGACATAATCTCAGTAGGAGACCCTGGTCAGGCTACTGCCTCTCCATGACAGTGGCATGGCTAGCCTGTGTGGTGCTTCCTAACTGGGGTGGTATAGGGCATCTCTCAAATCTCTACACATGGGCCCCAAGTGCACATGTGGGTCATGTCCTGGGATCAAAGGGAAATAAGACCAGGTGAATCATGATCTAGAAAGTTGCAAAATCTCCATGGAGAGCCTAGGTTTGTGTTATCATAGAAGCCACAAATCACAGTCTCCAGTGAAGGAGAGAAACACACATGACTTTAACTTTGACAATGAGGCCCACTCAGCTGAAGAGCTCAGGTCTCCAAAAGCTGATGCCTTGTTTGTTGGCCTCCATCAGAGCTGGGCTGAGGCTTGATCATCTGTCCTCTCCACCCCTGACTGAGCCCTGACCAGGCAGCAGGTTCCTGACCTGCACAGTGCAGGGTGGGGAGGCTTGGGATGTCAGGCTCCTCTGCAGACCAGGTTTTCCAGGGGAGAGAGAAGTCACCAGGGAACTAGCCACATTGCTCCCTATGCTCATACAGAAGGAAGGTTCTGGCTTGTAAAATGTTCATTGACTAGAACCCTGAAAGGTTTTTTTTTTTTTTTTTTTTTTTTTTTTTTGTAAATTTTACCAGCATGCACATGTGGGGGCATGTGTGTTCATTGGAGAGACAGAGAGAGAGAGAGAGGCAAAGTGTGAGAGCACCCCCATGGTGGATGGTCAACCCACAATCCTGTCTCTTCCATTTCTTCCTCCTTTTGGGGTTTTGGACACGCACACATACATGTCCAGTGTGTTTTTCAAGCCACTGGGTCCGGGACTCAAACTGCACAGTTTTGAGTGCAGGATCTGACTGTCTTAACCACCACTCCACTAACTGGCCCCTGGCTCCATAAGATTTTATGTAGCTATATTTTCCTTGAAACCTGTCTGAAATGGATTTAGTTTTCCCCAAAACTGAGCAGAGACAGGGTGTTGAGAGAGCAGACAGAGCCCAGTGTAGGCCTTCGAGGAGCGTCAAATCCCTAGAGTCTCACAGGCCTGACTTCCTCTGAGAACAGACTCCTTATGGCTGTTAGGCCACAAGTTTTATCTCTGTGGGTAACGAGTAGCCGGGAAACAATATGAGAAATCAGACAACCCCTGACTTCTTGGAACAGCGAGTGCTCTAACAGTATCATCTGAGTTCACCCAGAAGCTTCTCAGGAACAACTGTTTTCTTTTTATTTCTCACTGGAAACTCACAGAACTAAGCTCAGGGGACACTGTGGCTCCTTCATGCCCAGGTAACAGAATGGAGCTTCTGGGGCCAGTGACCTGGCTGCTGCCTGGGGATCAGAAGCTGGCTGTGCTGCACTGTCTTGGTTGAGGTTCCAGCGAAAAGTGGTGTGGGGGTTCTATTCAGAGGGCAAAATGAGGATGGCCATGAGCAGCTAAGTGTGACATTTCAGGTTCTTTCCTTCCAGGACCACACAGTTCTTGGAACTCAGCAGCTAAGTTTCTGTTGATGTTGATAATGCATAGACTACTTTTTGGTTTTGGGAATAGGGCCAGAGATGCAGACTAAAGAATGCTCCTTTCAGAATGGATGAGAAGATGGAAAGAGCCATCTCTGATTCGGAAGCCTCTGGGCTGAGAAGGAGGTGGGTAGAGGCTGCTAAACCAGGTTTGGAGGACAGACTGCAAGCCCCTTAGGAGGGTCTCAGGGGAAAGGCTCTGGTTCCCTTGCCCCTTCTCTCCAGCATGCCAGGGTGTGGAGGATCAACTTCTGGGAAGGCTTGTGCCCTGCACATTCTCTAGCTGTGCTGGTCCAGAGAAAGCATGGAGGGGAGCAAGCCCTTGGTGTAGCCTAAGCCAACACCCCCCCACCTACCTCTATGTCTATACTGGCTGGAATACAAGTCTTTAGCCAGTCATGTGGGGAGAAGCTGGAGAAATGGGGGTAACCAAGCATGCCAGCAACCAAGGGACACTATTGGAATCAGTACTGTGTGGATGTTTCCCCTGCCCCCAAATGTCAAGGTCTTTCTATACCAAAGGAAAGAGGCCCAGGGAGGAGGGTGAGTGGAATGGTGGTCTTCAGGCAGCATGAAGAGGAACAGTGAGTTTCCTCAGAGCCCCCTGGGCTCATTGACCTCGGCAACACCTGGATGCCTGGCTCTGTTAAGATATCAGAGAGAGAAAAGCGCTGGATTGCTCCATGGCTTCCATCTCACTCTTCAAATAACCAGGCAACTCTTCAATCAATTGCAGATGAGGAAATGCTTTTTGAGAGTGATTTTTAAACCCAGGGGACCTTGGGCCTTCCTAGCAGGAGAGGCGAGATAATGAAATCCTGCCTCCCTGGTCCCTGTGAGTGGCAGAAGCGCCACCCCAGTCCTGGTTGCTAAGTGGCAAGGCATTTGTCTGAGTCTGAAAAATCAAACAATGTCAGAAAACATTCTGAGTAGAAATTAGCCTTATTTACCTAAACACACAGGGCGTTGCTTTATCTGCCTCAAGGTGATTTCTTCGGAAGGTTTTAGACACACTGAGGGTGTTGCTGGATAGCCCTTTAAATTCAGAGCCATGTAGAGCTTTGTCCAGGAGCTAGAGATCACAGATACCGCACATGGCCACAGCCTCACACTGGCAGAAACAGCTTCTCACAAGAATGTCTTGGGCAAAAATGTCTTCCAAAACAGCCAAGGAGCCTCCAGGTGCAGGGCAGCCCTGGACCATGGTTTTGCCAGGATGGGGAGTCACTGTGGCTTGCTCTGGGAAAGCTCATTGAGGGGCTTGGGGTGTGCATCTGAGGAGCCTCAAGTGACCTCTAGCAGCATTGGGGCAGGAGAGAGCCCCTTTGCACAGGTTAGCATGCATACTCCACCTCGCAGGCCCACCACTGAGCACGGCTTTGTAGACTCTAGTGTTTGGGATTTGGTTTCAAGTCAGAAAAGCAAATAGCAAAGCCACCGGAACTCCCTTTATGAACAACAGCTGTCCAATTACAGTTGCGGCATGTTCTTGTCTAAAGGAGCTTTCGATGGCTCCTTGACATGGTTGTTTTCTGTGTGAAGTGAGAGGAGCCAGATGAGCTGATCCAACTGGGATTTCCCTGGCTCTTGACTCTAGGCAGGAGGTGGGGAGGGAGGCATTCACTAGCTGCCCTTGCCCTTGAGGGCCTGTGGCCTCCAGGCACATTTGTGGTTCCTACTGAGCTTGTATAAATCCCCCAGCCTGAGGAAGGAGCAGGGATGATTGCTCGGAGCAGGACCCTTCTCTGATCCACTTGTCATTCAGTCTTGAAAGGCCTGGGCCTTGGTCATCCTGAAATTAGTAACTGGGTGCCAAGGGGCTGGTGCCCTAATCTCACTGAGACCATAAACTGAAGCCACAGCCACCTAGAGTCCATCTCCACAAATGGCCACTCCATGGAGGGTACAGAGGGTATCAAGCCAATAACTTGGCAGCATCAGTGACATGCAGCTTCTCCAGGGGCTCTACCCACAGATGAAGGGTCCCAGTCCTGTCCCACACCTCTCACCCCACCTATTGTCTCCTAGCTCCATCCTGCTCCCCACTCCACCCCCAGTGCCTTGCCCTGCCCCTGGGCCATCTATATGGGTCAGACCATCCTCAGGCTCAGGATTGCTGGCGAGGATGTTTGCTAAGACCCCTGGAAGGTGTATCCAGGGCTTGGGACTCTGCAGGCGCAGATGGCGGAAATGGACCAAGCAAACAAATTCGTTTGAATACCTGAGCAGGGGCTGCTTGGGGTACGGCGGCTGGTCTGCGCCCTGGCATGATGGGGCCTTCTTGGTCACCTGCTTGTAGATGTTCCTGGCGGTGACTCCGATCCACAGCATGGTGGACAGCGTGGAGTAGTGCAGCACAATGCCCACCTGGGAGGGGGAGAGTCGTCAGCTGAGAAATCTACAGTGGAGAACTCAGCCTTCCTGAGTAGCCCTGAGTGGTCTAAGCCCTGGCAACCCCCTTAGCATCTTCAGGAGACAACTCTTTAGTGACAAGAAATGAGACCAGCAGAAGTGCTGCCAGGGATTTTATCTCAGGGAGGATGGCAGACACTGAGCCCTGGAAGCCACAGGGAGATACCTGGGCTGTGAAGGGCCTTGAACTGCTTGGCTTTGTTTTCTTCCTGCAGAGAGGTGGAGTGTGGAGCCTGTGAGCCTGTGTTCACACATCCCTGAGCAGTGTCTACACCACCCCCACACATGGGGGCCTGCATGTACGCACTGCCTAGTGCTCCCTGTAGCTCAGGCATGGGACCCTGTGAACTCCAGAGATAAACTTCTTCTGGGCTCAGGCCCCACATAGGTTCTACCAAGTGAAAGAAGGGTGCAATTCCACAGCAGGAGTCTCCCCAGTGTGCTGTTGCTTGTGGCATTGCATGTCAGACACAATGCTGACAGGGATAAGATCGGGACCACCAATCCATGCAAGTCGGAGTTACTCATTATTATGGAAACAGCCACCAGAGTGGTGTGTCCCATCCACAGTACTCCCTGCATAAGCTAATTACAAATGCCACACTCCTTCGTCTCCATCTGATTCCATAAAATGAGGTTACCTTTGAAGTAATAACCTGACATTTTGAAATGACAAGTAAAATATTACTATAATTGGAAAGGACATAAATGTTTAAGGAATACAGAGATTCTCGGAATAAAGCTAACATTGCACATTATAATGATTTATCAGATCCAGAGTTCAATTTTTACTTATGAGGAAAACGCTATAATAATTGATGAGAATTTTGTTGGGGTGGGGGGAGGAGAGATCAAAGGGCTCTGTTCATGGTTCTGGACAAGCTTCCTGCAGGTGGCTGGCAGCAGGGGACATAGCACACCCTGTGAGAGTCCAGCTCATGCCTTGGCCTGGCCTTGTTAGTGATGGTCATCCCAGCACGCAGGCCTCCCCTCTACCTGGCTGAGCATCAGAGCCATAGGGAACCAAAGGGCAAGAACTCCACATTGAAGACCTAGCAAAGCAGGGGAACATATGGGCCTGGCCCTCACTTGAAGGAAAGTTCTTTCTTTTCAGGAAAGAGCAGGGTGGCTGTCATGGTCATGTGTAAACAGAAACAGGTGTCCTCAGAAGGAGCCTGGCCCTTGGCCTCAGGATGCTGCTGCTGTGGGCAGGGAGCTGGCTTTGCTCTGAGTTGATCTGGGCCGAGCCTTGCTCAGGCTGAGAGCATTTCATTACAAGAAGGAGTAAAGAGTGGAGCTCTGTGCCCCATACACTGACATTAGGTTGGACACATGGAGAAGCCACCGGCTTCCAGAGAGTGTTCCACCGCCTGGAAAGAGGGTGGCAGGAGGTCACCCCACCCACACTTCCACACTAAGGTCGGTGCTGACGCACATTTGCTGTGTGGGACCAACGGCTGCTGTCTGTTTTTGTTTGTGATGTCACTTAGTACTTTAATGAGGCTCATGGTCATCTTTTGGTTGCCATAACAACTGTCTGTTCTCTCTAGCCATCTAGGGCTTTGGACCGCTTCTCGTACATTGCTCCATTGTGATGCTGAGCGATATTTGGACAGGGAAGGTTGCACCAGGGTGGAAATCATGGGTTATAGGTCATGGGTCTAGGTGGGGGCAGGTCTGACTTCCCACAGTCTAGTTTCTGACCCGCCCTTCCGCAGGTCTCTTCTCCAGCGGCTGATGGAGGGAGGCGAGAGTGCTGAGTGTGTGTACAAAGCTGCAGACGCAGAACCTGACTGCCTCTGGCTGGAGGATGCCGCCAGTAACAGTAACAGACACTTTCATTCATGTCTACAAAGGGGAGTTAAAGAAATGTCTGGGCAGTAGCAGAGAGAACATCATCTTGAGGGCTTTGCCGTTGTTTCTAAAACAGCCCCCGAGCCCCGCACCTTTGCTGAGCAGAGGCCCAGCTCCATTCCCCGCAGCAGCTCATTATCTTGGGCCTCCCCACTGGAGTGCAGGCTCCACAATGGGCCATGTGGGTTTGTTTCTGGCTGTACCCGGCACACACAGCATAGCCCAGCGCCTGGCAGGCCTTGTTGCCTGTGAGCCAAATGAATGAATGAGGGAATGATGACCCTCCTCCCAACTGCAGGAAAAGTAATTAGATCTGGACAGCACCTGGGTCAACCATAACCTTTTACTCCAGAACTCAGAGGCCCATTTCCCCCACGGGGTTCCTGACAATCTCTTCTACAGATCTCACCTCTTTGGATCCTTCCAGACCTGTTTCCCTCCCTACCCACAAAAAACTCAAATACCTACTTCGGGCTGACACTCACCAGGCCTGCAGACTCCCGGGGAGGTCTGGCCTCTGGAGCTCATCTGGCTGGACTGAGCACGGGGATGATTCAAAGGTTTATTGAGGGTATGGGCAGGTTCACCTGAGGCCCTGAGGGGGTAGGCCCCACTGCTGAAGTTCCAGTGGGTTTTGTCACCAGCAGGGTCCCAGTGTGTGAAGCACTCTGGTGGCAAAGCGTGGACATAAAGATAACAGCCCATTTTACTGCTTTTTGGATGGCTCCTTGGCAGGCGTTTACAGGCAGGACATAAATTGGATTTCCCGGGCGCTCACTGTGCCTATTTCCAGCTTATCGAGAGGCAACGATTAAGGAGGTACGTCTGCCCCTCAGGCTCCTTTCCCATGTCGGCAACTTTTCTGCTGGGGCCATGCTGAGCCCAGGTCAGGTGGCAGATGTGGCTTCCTGGTGGGTGGTCTTGATGAGCCTGCGGGAAGTGAGCCTTCACTGCCTGGATTTTCCTGATGTGCTCCTGTGGGAACAGCCTCTCACCAGCTGATTCTCAGGCTGAGTCGTGGAGACAGATAGGTCATCCAGTGTGGACCGACGGCCACTGACACCAGCACTGAGGTATGTGGGGCCCAGGTTACTGGGTGGAGGCTCTGCTCTCACAGCCATCCATCAGTGCTATGGAACTCAAGGTTACACAGTCAGCAAGGGGAGCAGCCCAATGTCCTGTTGATACCAGGCTGAGAGCATCCCTCTGTGGCCCAGGCAGATGCTTGTCTGTGAAGTGATGGGACCTGCGGGGGTGGGGTCCTTGATAAGTGGTTCTATGGTCCATGGCTGGGCCTTGGAGGTGATTCCACTGAGGCTGAGGCAGGGCACCGAGAGGGCCGCTGGTGGGGATAGGGGCTGGGATGGGTGTGCAGGCCGATCCTGCCCTGGTGCCATAGATGCAAAGGCACGTTGGGGGCTTTTCTCTTCGACCCCACACCATAGCCCAAGGAGGATAGAATAGGCTTAACGTTGTTTCTATTTTTCATGGTGTGTGTGTGTGTGTGTGTGGTGTTTTTTAGATGGAGTGTAGTTGTGTTGGGATGCTCCTGCCTCAGACTCCCAAGTAGCAGGGGTCATATGTGCACACTACCATGCCTGGCTCTTTCAGACAAGGACTTCCTATGTTGCCCCTGCAGGCTGCAAGCTCACAATCCTCAGCTTCCCCAGGACCTGGGCCACAGGTACAAGCTACTGTACCTGGCTCTTTAGGGTGGGGCAGGAATCGAATCCAGGCTTCCTTTGTGGCCTCAGCCCATGAAGCAACAGTGTCTAGTGTGTTCCACTGTGGCTGGGCCAAGGCTTAGTTTTGTTGAATGCTCTGCTAGTAGTTGAGTGGTAATTTATATTTTCTTTCTTTTTTTAAAAAAGTAATTATTTTATTTAACTTTATTTATTTATTTATTTTAATTTGACCAGAGAGGGATGGAGTGAGAGAGAGAGGGGGAAAGTGAGAAAGCAAGGTGCCAGGTCTGGGACTCGAACTGCAGTTGGTCATGTGAGCGTTCAGCTCCCTTAACCACCATGCCACCTGCCAGCCCCGGTAATTTATATTTTCTTTTTTAACCAGTCGGACCAGGCCATGGGTGTAAAGAAGAGCTGTTCCATGATTTTTGTTATTCTTTTTAATAACCAGGCACTTCTAAGCTCACTCCCTGAAATGGAGAGTAGGACTTTCTGAGTGAGCTCACGTGGAAGTAAGGGGCCTGCTATGGCGTTGACCACCTAGAGACCTGCAGAGACAGAACTTCTCCTTCTGATTATGAGCTGAGGCATCAGGACCCAGAAGTTCCTTTCTGGACTAGGAGAAGGAGGTCCTTTGCCCTGAGCTCCATTAGTAATTTTAGGAGAGGCAGATTGTGTCCCTACTCCCAGAAGAGTTTGTTGACAGTAAATATCAGGACAGTATGTCACCAGAGGCCTTGGGGCAAGCTGGTCAATGGAAATACAATTATTTTATATGATGAAATGTTGAATAAAACAATTGGATTCATATAGAGGGAAACTATAATACAGACACACTAGTTAATCCCTTCACCAGAAACAGCTGAACAAATACTAGAATATTAATTCATAAGCAAGACATCACAAATCTCCCCTTTGGTAGAAAAACTGATAAATTTTCTTTCTTCTTCTTCTTTTTTTTTTTTGAGAGATTTTTGCTATAGGGCATG